AAAAAAAAATCATAAATACGTACATTTTTAAGTGTTAAAAAGGCAAAATCCGTAAACTATTCAAAAAATGGCATTTTCGTAAGTGGCATTTTAGACAATAATCCCTAAAATAATCAGTCTGGATTACAAGAGTCCGAGTTATTTTTTTATCAACTTTTTTATTTACTTCTCCTGTTTTCAAATACTCTTTCTGTTTCACAAAGAGTGTCAATCTATCATTTTCACACAAATTAAAAAAAGTAAACAAATTTCATTTTCATTCCTTATTAATACACTAGATAATACCTTCTCTCTAACTAATAAACTAAAATAATAAGGATAAAAAAAGAAAATAAGTCTTAAAAAATGTATTGAAAACAAATAACGACATTTTTTCTGAAACAAAATTAAAACTTTAAAACGACACTCTTTGTGAATCGAAGAGAGTACGACTTAAAATTTAAAAGAGGCCATTTACATAACCGCAGCGGTTTTAGAACCTTTAAACTGAAAATTTAAAAGGTAATAATTAAAAATTACAACAATTTTTTAAGATTAAAGAAAAGAATGTAGACAGAGTAGAACTTAAACCACCAACTCATTCTTCAAGATCTCAAACATGAATGCTTGTTTGGTAGTGGGTGAGGGAAGATTCTTCTTTTCAGGTCAAATTAAAGTTTTTAACTTTATGGTTGCATCTTTATGGGTTTTGTTATAAATAATCACATTAATGATTTCAATATAATTGGGATGAAAAAGATATAGGTATTATGTACCTTCGGTTTACATACCACAGTAACTTTAAATGATAACAAAATGATATCAAATAATATCAAAACTAGAGATTGTGCTTTTTGCACATAATACGTAATAATTTGTTTTAAACAAGATTATGTACTTTACAAATACATAATATAAACTTAATCAACGAATATGATAATTCTTCTATTAATTTATAAACAAATATTTCTGTTGTCAAACAATTTCTATGTATATGATCAATCATTTAATTATCAGTCAAAATTTATTATTTTTTAGATGGTACTTTAATTTTATAAAAATTACGTGAAAAAAACAAATAAAATTGAATTTACCAGAGAACGACAAGTCTGCCAAAATGATTTTTCCTTATAATACATAATGGGTTAAATTAAAGTATTTTTTACCTAACTTGATTTTCCTGGTCAAACTCCAATTTAAATCTATAAGTTACATTTTACATTTTACACACCGACTTCAGTATCTATGTTTTCGAGAAGAACTTTTGAATCAAACCGTAATATCTCGTACATATGAATAAATAAACTCTTCAAATTCTATAATTTTTTTTTAGTTCTACACTTTAAAGATTTTGGTATCACATTCTCGATTAAATTAAAAAGGTATGTTTATGATTCGACAGTGTAGTAGGGTTAAGTAAAATGATGGTTGCATAAAAGTAATGATTATTAATAAAAATTAATTAGTAAGTATTATCTATTTATAATTAAAAATTTTGAGAAGAACAAAGAAACGAAGAATTGAAGGAAGGTACTTGGGAGAAATGAGGATGGGCACATGGGCACCACCCAAAACAAAAAGTACATCTAAACCAAAAACACTATAAGAAAAAAATACCTAAAATCATCTTTAAAACCTTTTTATTCAATTTATTCCTTAAAAGAACTTACAAGAAGTTCACGTGTATGTTCTTACAAAATATATATTTTTCATATGGAATTTTTACATTAACTCGCTAGGAGACACACGCTACTGTCATTCCTGCATGTGAATAAAAGAAGAGAGAAAGAGAGTTTTGCAAAATAAAATAGAATAAAGGCTTTGAATGGTAACCATTTTAAAGTTGTACAGCTTTGTACAGCTTTGACAGTTACCAATCACAAAAGCTTTATGAAAAGCGGTACACTATAACATAAACAGTTTTTTTTTGGACAAAAACAAAAACAAATTAAAACGGTTACGGTTAAATACTGTTATGGTTAAATACGGTTACGATTAAATACGGTTATAACGGTTACGGTTAAATACGGTTATAACGGTTACGGTTAAATACGGTTATAACGGTTACGGTTACGGTTACAATGGTTACGGATAATTACGGTTATAGTTATTTGATGACTACAATACGGTTAATATCGGAGGCGAAATCTTACGAGTTACCTAACTTATTATAATACTTTTCATAAAATCAAAAAGTATGTTACAAATAACATATTTTTTTGAGAAAAAGACTATTTTTTATAACGTAGATTTTTTCATACGCGGTATCATTTACTTTTTTGAAAATCTTAATCTGAACATTCGATAATTGTTTTTGCATTATATAGAGTTACAATTATATTTTTAAAGTTTTAACTATGCGGTTAACCATATGGTTAAATAATGGTTTTCATATGTTTACCGTTAATTAACGGTTACGGTTAATATATTTTTTAGCTGTAACTAATTATTTTTTACGGTTAACGGTTACGGTTTTTAACCGTTTTATAGGGTTACGGTTGAGAAACGGTCCGGTTACGGTACAACATATGGTTACGGTTAGCTTTTGGTCATGCCTAGTAAGCATGACCAAAAGCTAACCGTAACCGTATTTTGGATCGTAACTGGACCGTTTTTCAACCGTAACTGTATAAAACGGTTAAAAACCATAACCATTCACCGTAAAACTAGATTAGTTACGGTTAAAAAAAATATAGTAACCGTTATTTCCGAAAAAGTAAATAATACAGCCTATGAAAAAATCTCATTAAAAATAATGGTTTTTTTCTCAAACAATTATTTTGGAATGTTATATTGCTCAAAATGAAGAAAATTTTATTTATTATAGGACTAGTAAATTCATATTATTATTCTAACAATAAAATATTGTTCATTCTATATAATCTTAATTTTCACATGTAATTATATACTAAAGTACATTTCTATGTAATTTTTTTTTCTTTCTAAATTCTTAATATTATTTATTATGTGTACCGCTATGATGTTTCCAATCAGAGTAAATTTTTAAAATTTGTTCTGCGTTATTTTTTTGTACAACTTTCGTGTTTTATTCTTTTGTACAGCTTTGCACTATTCCCTAACAGCTAACAGCTCCAGCTAACAGCTCCAGCTAACAGCTCCAGCTAACAGCTCCAGCTAACAGCTTGTTACCAATCAGATCCAAAAAGTTTTGAGATATTTAACCTATACATGGTAATGTGATGGGTGATATATAACTAACAACTTTTAATTAATTAGTTACACCTATATTAACACTAGCATAGTGAAAGAAAATTGATTCGATCGATATTATCTCAACTACTTCAATAGACTTTCGTCCAGTTAAATGCATACGAATAGACCCATACTTTCTTTTCTACAAAATATACAGCATTCAAAAAAAAGAAATTTCATTATTATGTATTATGTGGAACTTAATATGGATTATCCTACAGCAACATTAATATAAACCACACGATAACATCAAATAAAAATATTGTATTTAACGTATACTGTTTATTTGAAAACAAAATGACGTTATTTGAAAATTTACCATAAAATATGAAAATTCAAGTTTTTTTGATAAGGATTTTATGTAAATTCAAGTTATATAAATATGAGTGAATTAGGTGAATAACCTAAAAACATAATAAAATTAAGAATATAGCATGTTTTTGTTCAAAATTAAGTAACTAACTATACATGGGTGTGAAAAGACCAAACTAGCTCTACAGAGGAAGAAGCATGTTGACGTGTAACAACAAGAAGAGAGAAACAATATGACTACAGCCTACAGGTGATAACAAAATATATTCCACCCTTTGTAATCTTGTTTCTTATATTAATCTAACATCACTAATTTGTTAAATATTGCAATACTATTAAAAAAACACAGATTTTTTTGTTTATCTAACATAATTTGAATTTTTGAAATCAGAAACAAATTTCTTAAAAAGTGAATAATAACACTATGAAAAACCACCACATTCTATATAGACATGCATAAAATAGAATAGTATACTATATATTATTTAGTATCTGTTAATTATTCAGCGGTGGTAACAGTAGTTGTGGCGGTGGTTATGATTATAGTGGTGTTGATAGCCATGCAGCGGCGGTGGTAGTTGTAGTTGTGTTGATAGCCATGCAGCGGCGGTGGTAGTTGTAGTTGTGTGTTTGTGGTGATAGTGGTGGCCGTGGTGGTGGTGACGGTAGTGGTGACAACGGCGATGGTGGTGGTGATTATGATGTCGTCGGTGGTGGTTGGTGGTGACGATGACGAGGCTTGATGGTGACGGCGACGGTACGAATGTTAATGAAGACAATGGCAAAAGAAAGAAGAGACACAAGGGTGTGTGAAGTGAACTTCACCCAAGGTTAAAAGGGTCATATATACAGAAAATACAATCAATATCATTGGATTTTTTTTGAATGGTTAGTTACTTAATTTTAGTTTTTTTTTTTATGTTATAGCTGCAAATTTTCCTATAAATATAGATATCTATAGAAAATTGTTTACCAGTTTAAAAAAGTTTACCACGACATTAAGCATAGTTTTCATTTTTCAATAGTGATTTTAGTTATGGTTAGTTTTAATGAATATTTTAAATATCTTAACTTTTTACATTTTTTAAATATTCGTTTGAATTTCCGTTCAAAGATTTCGGTACAAAAATCATAAATTGAATGAATTTGTATGTATTTTTTATTATTATTTTATGCCATTTTTTGTTCTAGTTCGCTTTTGGATTTTGTTTTGGAAACGAGCTTTGTCACGTGAATATTGGATAATATATATAGCAAAGAGGGAAAACATTGGTTAGGGCATATGCAACGCCAAAACAGTTGGTGTGATCTTAGTAATTTAAAATTAAAAAATAATGGAAATAGTGCGTTTAGTTCTTGGGTTTAGTTCTTGCTCAAGACCTGTTCCTAGCCCTGTTCTTGGGTTTGGGTCTTATTTTTTTTTTTTTTATTCTAAGCACACCATTAAGATGATCTTCCGATAATTATGGTCTTACAACATTCTTTTTTTTTTTTTTTGTCGGCCAATTGTTTTATTAGATAATATGAACAGGATACATCGTTTTTGTTACACATCAGAGGATATATGAAACTACATATGGAGAAACATTGATTCTGGCCTGTTTTGCCAGAAAATCAGCATGAGTGTTGTCTTGACGCCCAATGTGCTTAAACATGTAAGTGTTATACGCCAAGGCCTTGATATCCTCTAAATGTCCTTGAATAGCAGCCGGTGGGAGATTACTTCTAGAATTGCATGAACTATCCAGGTAGCGATAAATTTGTGCAGAATCTCCGCAAAAAGTAACATGATCATAGCCCAGCATCTTCAGTCGTAGAATAGCTTCCTTGAGGGCTATGGCTTCTGCCTCTAAAGGTGATTCTGTGGCTGCAATTGATGATGATCCCTTGAGAATGTGTTTATCCCGCCCATCCTGTAGAATCCAGCCAATGCCTGCAGGATTATGATCATCAAGCCATGAAGCATCTACACAGCAGCATAAAGATGTGGATTGTGTAATAATTTGCTGTAGAGAGGATGGTGGTTGATTTGGTACAATTAACCTTTCCTCCTTAGTGTAATTAAGAGCTTCATTCCAAAGTCGATAATCAACTATGGCTTGATGGATAATTTGAGGAATGCCCCATTTCTTATTATTAAATATCAGGTCATTGCGTGCTTTCCATATACGCCATCCCAGGAAAGGAAAAAAATCCTTTTGGTTCTGCTGGGGTGATTTAAGGGAGAGCAAGGTTTGAAGATAATCTGTTAAATTATGAGCAGAAACCAGCTGACCTGTGTGGAAATCAATGGGAGCAAGTTCCCAAATCTCTTTTGCTACTCGGCATTGAAACATAAGGTGCATGATTGTTTCAGATTCTTCTCCGCATAAAGGGCAATCTGTAAGAATATGGATGCACCTACGCTTAAGAGTTTCTGCCACAGGAAGAGCATTATTCAATGCTTTCCACCAAAAATGTTTAATTTTTGGTGGGGCAGAAAGATTCCATATAGCTTTACTCAATTTGTTTTTTAAACACTGTTCAGGATCAATTATAGGAGTAGGTTTTGTAAGTTGATGATAACCTGATTTAGCAGAATATTGGCCATCTCTTGTATAGATCCAAGTAGGTTCATCTGGAGCAGCCAGGAGACGGGGTCTAATTCTGCAAATTTTTGGGATATCATCCTGTTGTATGAGCTGCTGAAGCTTGTCCACATTCCACGTTGCTGCATTTGCATTGAAAAGATCAGAAACTTTCAAATTATTATTCATTGTTGAACCAATGTGACGTGGAGGTCTTGGTGGATGGTCAATCCATTGGTCTTGCCAAACTCTAACAGTATTACCATCTCCTATTTTCCATTTAAGCCCTTGTTTAAGAAGTTGTGTACCTTGGTAAATGCTTTTCCATGCATGACTTGTACGTTGTCTTAACTTGGCATCAGTCAAATTCGTATCAGAGTAATACTTTGCCTTCATGACTCTAGCTAGTAAGGATGTGGGATTTTTAAGAAGTCTCCAGCTTTGCTTGGCAAGTAGGGCGATGTTGAAATAATGTAGATCCTTAAATCCCATTCCTCCATATTGCTTGAGCTGAGTCATTTTGTGCCAAGCAATCCAAGGTATCTTGTGTTTCTCTTTGATAGATGACCACCAGAATTTTCTAATTTTTCCTGCAATTTTAGATAACAGCTTCTTGGGCAAAAGAAAGCATGACATGCAATAGGTGGGTAAAGCTGTAGCTACTGATTTGATTAAAACTTCTTTGCCCGCAGGAGATAGTAATTTAGAGTACCAACTATCCAGCTTATCTTGAACTCGTTGGGTTATGTAGGAGAAAGTGTTGCATTTGTTTCTTCCCACCAATTCAGGCAGTCCTAAATACTTCCCAAAACCTCCCACACGATTGATCCCAGTTATCCTAATAATATTTTGTTTAATATTTTGAGGAACATTCTTACCAAAGAGGATAGCTGATTTCTGGAAATTGACTTGCTGCCCCGAAGCCTCTGCATATTTGTGTAAGAGGCTGAGAAGATGACCCGCTTCTACTTCATTTGCTTGACAAAAAAGTAATGAATCATCAGCAAAAAACATATGTGATACAGGGGGGCCATTTCTACTAGCTTTGAATCCATGAATGGAGGAGGTTGTCATAGCCTGAGAGAGTAAAGCTGATAGACCTTCTGTACATAATAGATATAAGTAAGGTGATAGAGGATCACCTTGACGAAGACCTCGTTGAGGGATGATTTTGCTTGAAGGAGATCCATTGATTAACACAGAGTAAGAAACTGTTGTCACACACTTCATAACCCAGTGACGCCATTGATCTGCAAATCCCAGCTTGGTTAGTATAGCATCAAGATAAGACCACTCTATTTTGTCAAAAGCCTTTGCTATGTCCAATTTCATGGCCATGAATGGTTGAGTTGGTTTCTTAGTAGTTAGAGAATGCATCAGCTCATGAGCAATTAACACATTGTCTGTAATAAGGCGGCCTGGAATGAATGCTGATTGAAATTCGGAGACAATTATGTTCAGCCAGGGCTTAAGTCTCTCAGCTAAGATCTTAGATATTAGTTTGTAAGCGATGTTACACAAACTAATTGGTCTAAAATCTTTAACTTGAATAGGGGAAGTCACTTTAGGGATGAGACAAATATATGTGTGATTTATTTGTGGATCCAAATATCCCTCTTGGAAAAATAGCTGAACATATTGAGACACACCTGTTTTAATAGTATTCCAGTGTTGCTTAAAGAAGCCTGCAGTTAGTCCATCAGGCCCTGGTGCCTTGTTCTCATTCATTTGACAAAGAGCTTGATATATTTCTTCCTCTGTGATTGGCGCAATTAGCTTTTGATTGATCTCTGGAGTAACTTTGGGGGAGATGTGCTGCAAGACTTGATCCAAATTAGCTCTGCAGGAAGAAGAGTATATCAGAAAAATAAGATGTGATAATTTCCTGAATATTTTTTTCATTAGTGTGCAAGTTTCCAGCAGCATCTTGAATCGAAGTTATCCGATTGAAGCTCCTTCGTTGCTTGGTCTTTGCATGAAAGAACTGAGTATTCTTGTCACCTGCATTTAGCCATTGAATTCTACTTTTTGTGTACCAGTACTCTTCTTCCATCCTATATTCTGCTTGCAATTTGGATTTAATTTCAGCAATAAAATTGTAATCTATGAAGTTAGAAGCATACGCTTTGTGGAGAGCTTCCTGTAGTTCATGTATTCGCTTCTTAGAGTTGCAGAGATTGTCGGTTTTCCATTGGGATAGGCTGTCCCTGCATCTTTTAAGAGCTTCATTAAATCTTTGAGGAGGAAGATGACTGCATCTTTGGATCCATCCTTGGGAGATTATTTGCTTCACCTCCGGATTGAGTCTCCATCTGTTGTCATACCTAAATTGCTTAGCTCCTCGCCATTTACGATCTGCTGTATCAATTAGTAGTGGTCTGTGATCAGATCCACACCACTTTAAAAGCTGAGCAAAAGCTTTAGGAAATAGATCCTGCCATTCCGCATTTGCAACTGCTCTATCCAGTTTTTCTTTAACTTCTCCTCCTTGTCTGTTGCCTCTCCATGTATAAATACCCCCAAATGTCTTGATGTCATGTAAACCCGAGACGTTTAACATGTTGCGAAAGTGAGCGAACTGCCATTCTGGCCTGATTGGACCTCCAAATTTCTCATCATTATTTTGGATTTCATTGAGATCTCCTAGCATCAGCCTTGGTTTATTGCCATATAAATTTGTTTGAGCAAGATTTGAGATACGCCTCCAAAGCTGCTGTCTTGAACCTCTCACTGGATTCCCGTAGATGTATGTGACGTAAAAAGATATTGGCCCTTCCGATACAATAAGATTCGTATAGTGAAGCGTGGGAGTGTCAAGAAAATCACACTTCACTGAGTCTTGCCAAAAAATTGCTAATCCTCCATTTAAGCCATCCGGAGACACTAGAAGATGATGGGGAAAATGGAGATCAGCCCCGAGCTTTTCTACATAACTATCCTTATTTTTTGTCTCCACGAGGAACATGATATCAATCTTATACCTACGATTGATATCTTTAAGATATGGAATTGTCAAGGGGTTCCTCAACCCTTGGCAATTCCAATGCAGTATTCTCATTCTGGAAGTGGTGGTTTCGGGGTTTCCACCTCCCCTTGAGCTTGCGTTGGAAAATTGGGTTGAGCTCTCTTGTTAGAAGTCGAAGCCTGTTCTGCATCAGCTGATTCGGTAACCTTTCTTTTGGTTCCTCTTATCTGACCAGACGCTGAATCTACGCCCATCTCTTGAACATCAAAAGTAGCATTAACTGCATCTTGGTCTTCCCTTGGATGAGTAAACTCCATATCTTCACCTTGTGCAGCACTCTGGTCTTGATTTTCTGACAACTCCATGTTTAGGTTAGATCCTACTGTTTCTCCCATTGTATCATCAGCATCTTCAGTAGGAGTATTTGGCTGGGTTACCATTTGATTTGCAGCAGGAGGTGGTAATTGCAAGTGTTCCATTTCGTGAACTTGGTGGTTGCAGCTTGTAGCGAGATGCCTTAGACTTCCACAAGTAGAGCAGAATTTACGGAGCTTATCGTATACATACCGAATCAGAACTGGCGCTCCAGCATCGTCCAAATTAAAGTAGCGAACAAAGATTAATCGATCATCTATATCGATTGGAACACGGACCCGAACTTCCCCAGCTTGATCTGCAGTCGATTGTTGTATGTGTACCTCATCAACATGACCCAATTCTCCACCTATTTCGCGAATCAAGCTGTCACTTTTAGAATCATCTGGAAGATTCAGAATTTTTACCCAAAATCTGATGATACGAAGGAAGTCGGGGTAATTGCGACGGGTCCAGCGATCAACTACAAGAAGCCAGTCCTTATAGGCCCATGGACCATTATCAAGGACTGTAAGAAGTTGGTGTTCATGCCTGAAGAAGAACTGAACAGAGCCATCCTCATTAATTCGGCTGGTGACTCGACCTTCCAATTTCCAAACCTTCGGCATCATCACCTTAATTCCAGCTGGGTTTTGAGAGGGATGAATTCTTTTGACTACAAGACTAAGGTGATGTTCAGCGTCTCTTTTATTTTTAGCGTCATTTGAAATTTTTTGTGGACTGCGCTCCAAGCCAAGATTTAGATTTTGGAGAGAGATCCACAGCTCCTTGTCTGCCATTGAGGTATGTCACAGATCCGTTGATACGGAAGTGAAATCCGAGCTCGCCGGAAAAGGAATCACCGGAAAACGAGACGGTGAAGCTAAGTCTCGAGAGATCTAGAGAAATCGCCTAAAATCACTGTTCACAGAGAGAGAAAGCCACAGTCCACCTATCTGGCCAGTTGTCTTACAACATTCTTGCCTCTGTTCTAACTGCAAGTTTGAATTTTGGTCCGTCTTAAATCATGAAATTGTGTACACATATTTATAAAAAGTACTGTGCATACGTCATCAACCAGCCATGACGTTTTAAGAAGTATTGGGAATCTTTATGTTTTTTGTTATATAGATGAACTGATAGAGGGATGTCAAAAAAAAATATGATTCATACAGAAAGTGTAATCAAGTTTAACATCTATTAACTTTTATTCTATTGTCTTTGGTAGACCTAGACTTTAGGATATCTCTCTAAATTCAGTTTGATTTTTTTCGGGTTTCAGATATTTTGGATATAGGAAAATAGGTTCCGTTCATATATTTTTAACTTTCGATACGGATTCGGATTCAGTTCGGTTTAGTTCATGTAACTAATTTTATAGTTGGTGAAAATCAAAATATTATGAGATAAAGTTTGGATTGATTATTTTTTACCCAAACATAACCAAATTACCCGAAAATATTCCAAAAAAAACCTAAAACGTTAATTTAATTTTAATAAAATTTTGTTAACTTTTACCTGAAAATAACTAAAATATTTGGGTTTATAATTGTAATTGTGAATAATTGGGTTATTACAATTTAGATCTAAATATGAAATTCTAAATATAACATATAACTTTACATGTGTATTTCATGTTTTATTAGGTATCCCTTCGATTATCGGTTCGGTTCAAATTATATATCAATTATTTGAATATAAAATTCTACAATCACTCGAGTATTTATGTTGATTCTGGTTCGGTTCAATACTTTCGAATTCGGATAGCTTCTGATTCGATTCTTCGAATATAGATATTTTGCCAAAAGCTAGTTTGTGGTTCACTCTTGAGAGATTTTGCCCAAAAAAAAAAAAGTTTACTCTCGAGAGAACTCCAGAGTTAAGTGTGTTTGTGTTAAAACAATTTTGGATGAGTGATCTACGGGGAAATAATTATCGGTACCTTGTGAGCAAAAACAAAACATATGGAAAAATCATGTGGTGATTTGTAAGGTCGGTAAAAAACTCTTTAAAGCTTTCAAAAGAAAAAGTCGGTTGTAACGCCCCGACCGCCACCTCTCTTAATGAGCTCCACGTTCTCTCTCGGCCGGTAGGCCCACCCGTGTTTGACGGCCGGTCCGCTACGTTCGGGATTTGTTTACCGATCATACAAATCACCACATGATCTTTCTCTGTGTTTTGTTTTCACTCACACAGTTCCGACAATCATTTCCAAGATGAGAGAGGATGTGGGGCCTATTAAGAAAGGTGGCGGTCGGAACGTTACATCGGTCGTCGAAAAAATGGTCGAGAGAGGATGTGGAGGCTCGCATAAAGTGGTGGTCGGGCGTTACATAATTGCTAAAACATTAGCTTTCTTACTATCATTAACTAATTCATCCGCAATTTTTCACTATGAGTCAGTTTTTAAAAACGCCACTTATTTTAACAATGGGATAGAAATATTATTTTGAGCTTCTTCAATTGTCTGATTAGTGGTTATAATTTCTTTGAACATTGGTTATAATCAACTATATTAAAACCAAAATTTATTATAAATAATTATTAATTATAAAAAAAATATATATATATATTAAAAAATTAGGTTACCGTCTACATACTTAACTTTTGATTTCATATATTATTTATTATTATTAACTAAACTTACCAAAATTAAATGTTTCAAATATCAAACTAAGGAAACTTCTATATAAATATTTTATTTATATTAAATACATAGTGTTTTTCAATTGGAAAATTTAAAAATATAAATATAGACTATATGATATAGTATATGCATAATTAAAAAAATAATTTCTTTCATATATTATAAATTGAAACCACATATCTATAAGCCTAAACTTATGTTTAAAACATATTATAAAGTCAAACACAAACACTATGTACTCTTTAATAGTAATAAATATTCTTAATAAACTAGTAAAATATATCTATTTACTACAAATAAAATTATTATTCATATAGTTAAATAGTATATGATTTATCATTGCATAGCACGGATTCGTACATACTATATACTCTTTTTGTTTTAATTTATATGTAGTTTAAAGAATTTATTTTGTTGCAAAATAAGTGTTGTTTTCGAATTTTTATGCAAATAAAATGTATTTTGACCAATTAGTTTTATAGTGTTTTTTATTGGTTGAATTAGGTGTAACTAATAATGTTTTGTGTAAAATAGATAAATAAAATGAATTTTTATGATTTTTATTCTGTGTGTAAAAATCTTAAAATACAAATAAATTGAAACAGATAGAGTACTTATCTATCTAAGATATTAATTATTGAATTTTGTTTTTAAATAATATAGCTTCGGAAATGTATATACTTGCCAAAATGAATGGAAAGGTTTTTTGTAATTTGTTCTTGTGTCTGCGATTGAGATAAATACATAATTTGGTACTAATCACATCAATTTGACTTTCATATGATTTTGGATTTGGAGTTTTCTTAGTAGTTTGGAGTCTTGGAGATCACCTTTCTTATTTTGTCAACACTAAATTTTATTTTCTCTTCTTCTTCTTTTTTATTATTATTTATTTTCCGGTTTAAGGTATAGTGTATATGGTGAAAATAGTTTAACAAAAAAAAAGTATTTGGTGAAAATGGAGCCACATTCATCTCTCGCAAAGTTTAGAAATTAAAAAGTATTGATTGAGAATTCTGTTTCAACTTCTGAATTTAATTTTATGTCTCGTCTTCTAATTTGAATATGTTTTCTTTATTAACCAATTTGATTAAAATAATTAACAACCCAAAGATTCAAACTAGTCTAAAAGAAAAAAATGATTATCCGTAGCTCTCCTAGCAAAAGAATCAACAAAAGTTGAGCAATCGGGATCGATATTAAACGACATTTTGAGGAAAAAAATATAATTTTTAGAGAAAATATATTTGCTGAAAAAAAAGCAAAATATATTTAGAGGATTCATATTTTTTTCTAAGAGCATCTCCAACCCAACTCTATATTTGCCTCTAAACTCTATTTTAGAGGCAAATTTGCTCCAACTCACCTCTATTCTCACCTCTAAAATAGAGATCTCTATTTTTTGCTCTATATATAGACGATCATATAGAGAATCTCTATTTTTTCTCCTATAAATAGAGTTAAATTTTTTAGAAGAAAAAATAGAGGAACACATTGGAGTAAAATAGAGAAAAATCACCCTATTATAGAGATAGAGCTAAAAATAGAGAAATACATTGGAGATGGTCTAAAGAGAGAAATTTTTTAAAAATGGCTAATTGACTGAAATAAAACTTTCAATGGTAGCTTTTGATAACCAAGCACTAAACCACCATATCATGTTATAGGTAACTTCTTCTGTTGATTTTTTTTTTCTCATTTAAGTTTTCCGAGGTCTGTCTTTTATTTTGAAATGCATGTAGAGATACATCGACATGTGTGCAATATGGATAAAATCATAACTGAATTTTGTAAGGGAATCTTATTAGTAGTAAAACTATAGACAGGGATCACTTTTGTCACAAAAGAGATCAATACCAAAAAAAAAAAAAAAACAGGAGTGTATATTTTACGGACAAAAAAAACATTGGCCTTGAATGGATTGACGGGAGAAAGACAGACGATACACATAACAGGAGAACCACACTTTTTTGTCCATTCACAAATTTATGAACATAAATGAGTTTTTATTTAAAAAGCAGATAAAAAGAGGATGGACTGCAAATGGGTCAAATTTACAAAGGAACGCATGTAACAGTAGGAACGCATCATTTTTGATGTGTGTCATGTGCAGATCTTAATTTTTATGCATATACTTTATTTTTATTTTTATTTTAATTCCAAAAATACTAAAAATTGTTTGGATTTAATTGTTTTTATGGACTTAGTAATATTTGTCTTAACTATACGAGTATACTCCGACTTTTATCTGATCTAGTGAAAGTTTGGATTATAATTTTTAGTGTCTAAATAATATTGTTGAAGAAAAAACAATATTATTTATTTTTTACATATTTATGTTTGGGATGTAATTAAATATATTAATAATTTTTAAATTGCATAAATATAAAAGTGATATAAACATGTTCAAAACTATATTGCATATTTATTTTAATATAAAAAATTTAGTATGTATAGTTTACGAATAATATTTTATTTAAAATTAACGTTTTTTATAATATAAATATTTTACCCGCACCGCCTGATATGCTTTTACCATTCAGCATATATTTAAAAGCGTTCGAACCGCTTGATCCGCACTTGTACCGCCAGATCTGCTTGATCCACTTTTGTTCTGCTTGATACGCTTGATCCGCTTGATCCGCTCTGCCTGATACGCTTTCTCCATTCGGAGCCATGTTTCACATCTCCAAATTCTGAGTGTAAGACCATCCGCAGTGGTGTAAGTGTGAGGGAGGGGTGTAAGATTTTTTTTATTATTATAATTTAAAGTGAGAGAGAAAAGAGAGAGAGAAAGAAAGAGAGAGAGAGATAGAGTGGCTTACACCCGAGTGTAAACTTACACCCGGGTGTAAAGAAAGAGACAACTTTTACATTATTTCTGTATTTTAAAATAATGTTTACACCCGCAAGGATACACCACTGCGGATGCCCTAAGTAAACTTTTGGCTCTAAATATGACATATTGAATTTATTTGAATAGTGGTTAAATGCGTTTAATTAAAGATATTGGTGTTGATTTTCCTTTTATATTCTTCTTGTTTTTCAAAAAAAAAAACTTTATAACCACTCTATCATTACGAAGTAGGTATTATGAGCGGGTCCGTACATCTTTCGGGTGAACATCAATGTATGTTATGATAAAGGATACGTCTAATCAACGTATTTGTATTCTATATAAGTCCTTACTTCACAAATGTTTTTATTTTTTTAAATGAGTCTATTATTGCCCTAGTTTTATCGAATTTAAAACTAATGACGAATAGAGAACGACGGAGTTTGATGGCGTTTGTCTTGGTGTGCAAATAAAGTTGCATTCGAATGCGACTTGAAGCTAAAGCTTGTATCCAAGTCCAGATCCTTAGAAAACGA